AAGAAAATCTCTAATTTGGCTTGTCTAAATGCATCACATATCCTATTGTTGCATCAGACAGGGGTCTAAGAAGCTAGGGGTCTTCCCGTGAAAAGATCCTCTACTTATTCTGGGATCATGCCCTCACCCTGGTAAGGAATGCAAGAGGGGGCCAGGCTGACTCAAAAATCAAAGATCCCTCAAGCAGACAATGAGGTAGTTAGGTTGTCTGCCACAGAATGAAGAACTCAGAAGAAGCAGGAATTTACATATAATATTGTGAAGGTGAGGACAAAGCTGCTGAGCAACAAGTTGCCTGGCAGGGAGAAGTCAGATAACGTCCGGCCCTACCAGCAGACCCTCATGCAGAAACAGAAATGATAAATGTATGCTAAAGCCAGAGCCAAAACAGCTTCTAAATCCCAAAGGCCTTACAGCACCTCTACATCACCTGCAGATTCAATACTAACTCAGAATCCTAGGAACACAGCTCTGTGAGCTCACAGGAGATCTGGCTGCCTAATTGCACTCTTACAGCATGGGAGGACACGTCCAGGTTTTGTGGCACCTGAAGCTTATATTAATTGGAAGGCCTAGTTTAAGAACAAGCATAGAAAATTACAGATATGGAATGAAGTATTTTTTTAGGACAAGAAAAGAAATCACAGTTTTTAAAAAGTTGACAAATACTTCAAACATAACACGTTTATATTAACTGTCCACCTCTGTGATATTTTTCCTACATTTTTACTTGTATAACCTTTGAGTACTTCTTCATATGATGATTTTGCAACATGATTTTCTATAGAAACGTGTTTAATCAGTGACACTTGGAATGTGTAAAACTTGATTTCTTATACCGACTTCCACAGTGTCCACTCTTGCTCTCCTGGTTTTTGCCACATGATCTCAGAGATTCTGAAAAATTCTATCTCACAAAATTCTCATCAAAAAAAAGAAAATGTATGATATGTTTATAATTGTATCATTGCTTTGTCAAATATATATTCCTGAGTGAAGCTCAGTCGGTCCCAGCACCCAGAAGGAAGCTCCC